CCACTTCAATCCAACTAAGTTTCCACAGCATATGAGAAATAGAAGGATTTCCAATCTATCCTACCTTCCAATGATCGATCTACTGATAACCAGCACTTACTAATGCTAACGATTCATTACTAGCCGAACTTACAAGACCATTCAACCTCTAAAGACAAGATGAACACTTTCTGAATCCCAACAATACTGATAACTCCAGATGCCTTGAAATGACACCGTACTCAGATCTTGAAGTCCAATTAACTGATGCTCAAAGTAAAACTTCGGTAGTAGAACACTTCCCTTGGCAACCCCATGAGTCAATCTGAGCACAATGATTGAACCCTCCAAATCCTGACGAAGGTGGGTAACCACCCTGCTGAACCCTAACCACAGACCTTCCACATAATGGCCCTGAACTGATCTCGACCATAAACCAAGATGACACAGAACACTTCGAACCAGCAAAAGAGAAACGACCCTTCCCTAAACACTTTGAAATTCAAGGTATGAAAATGGCATATGAAACTACTTGAAGATGTAACTCATATATGAGCAAAGAAATGAACCGGATATATGCTTTACCCAAACTGATGCAAGATTCCAACAACTATAAACATAGATATAAATAACCTGAAAGAAATCAAAAGATGCATACCTGCAGAACTCAACTCCTCTCTGTTGGAGCTCCTGCCCTACCTTCTCGTCCATCGGTGATCCTCATAGAATCCGGAGCAAGCAGGCTCACTACTCCTCCCCTCAACATCAAACACTTGTCCTTCTTGTGGACCACCCGATCGTAGTGAACGTATAATGGACTTGCTCCCTGAGGATAGCCTTGCTGACATGGCCAGCCCGACCACTTATAGCAGTTTCCCACGTGTGTTGCACTGAATCTGGTCCTGTTGGTCAAAAGTCTTAGGTCTCTTCTCGGGACCCTCAAAACTATGCATCTGATCTGACCTCCTCTTCTCAATGTGCTCGAAATCAATATCCCACTCTTAGGCTCTAGAGATCATATCATTCAGGGTCTCGCACACTAAAATACTCACGAATTTCCTGATGTCATCTCGCAGCATATCGTGATACCTTACTTTATTCATCTCATCATCTGCTACATATTGCGGTTCTAATAAATCCCTCTCCTGGAACTTGGCAGTGATCTCTGCCACCTTCTCAGTAGTATGGCGGAGATCTAGGAACTCTCGCACCAACTGATGCTGTAACGTCGGAGTTTCAGGGCTAAGCATTTTAGACAATGTAATAGTCTATGTCAACTCTTGTAACTCTTTTTGAAGAAATAAAGATGAAATATTTGAGTATTATGTGAATTATGTGTATTTATGTGCTTATTATTTAATTATAAATGTATAATAAATAAAAGATAAAAATAAGCGTCAAAATTAAAGTGTGAGATAAGCCCGATATCTTTACTTAATGTTGTAGTGGTCGAAACAAGGATTCCGAGGATATAAGGAACGCCGAAATCCGAGTTATAACGAAGAAGTTATGACCCGTCGAAGTTTCGCGACAGAACCGACACGATACCGGGAAGCGTAAATAGTGAATTTACGATAGAGAGAGATTTAGCCTTAGCGATCTAAACAAAAGTCGTAGAATATGTTAAACTAAGAATATCGATAAAAAGAACGCCCAAATCTGACTTCGTATGAAGAAGTTATGGTTGCGTTTAGTTACGGAAAAACAGTTTTCATTTTCCGTTTTTTGTTTTCCCTTTTTGATTTTCGTTTTCCGTTTTCATTTTTCATTGAAAAATTTAGAAAACGTGTTTAGTTAAGCTTATTCATTTTTCATTTTCAGTTTTAGAAAATTAGAAAACGTGTTTAGATGTGTATTTTTCTATCGGTTTTCATTTTTAAAAAACGGTAGCGGTGATAAGGTGTGGGCGGGGGGGTGACGGTAGTGGGTCGGCGGTAGTGGTGGTGATGACAGGCGGCAGCGGTGGTGGTGGTGCTAGTGACGGGTTAGTGGTGGTGGTGGTGGTGATGGTAGGTCGGTGATTGTCGTGATGGTGTTGGGTGGTTGGGGGTGTGAGTGTGTGTTTGTGGGGGTATGTATGTATGTGTGTGTGTGTTTGTGGGTGGGTGTGGGTGGGTATGTATGTGTGTGTGTGGGTTGGTGTGTGTGTATGGTTGGGTATGTATGTGTGTGTGTTTGTGGGTTGATATGTGTGTGTGCGGGTGTGTGTGTGTGTGTGTGTGTTTGTGGGTGTGTGTGTGAGGATGAGTATGTATGTGTGTTTGTGGGTGTGTGTGGGGGGGGGGTATGTATGTGTGTGTGTGTTTGTGGGTGGGTGTGTGTGTGTGTGCGGGTTGGGGTGTGTGTGTGTGTGTATGTATGTGTGTGTTTGTGGGTGGGTGTGTGTGGTTGGGTATGTATGTGTGTGTGGGTTGGTATGTGTGTACGTGTGAGTAGGTATGTATGTGCGTGTGTTTGTGGGTTGGTGTGTGTATGTGTGTGCGGATGGGTGTGTGTGTGTGTGCGGGTGCTATCATGCAAACTTGTAACAAGAAATATCATAGAAGTTGTGTGAAGTATTGGGCTCAAGCCAAAAAGATTGCCAACTCATTGTCAAATTTCTTTGTCTGATCAATTTGAAGTTAAGGCATCGTTTTTGATCTGTAAATGTGGTCAATCGATAGAGATAAATCAAGGTTCAAGAAGGTTTGTCGATAATGATTGTTGCTTAATCTGGAAAATAAAAACATGTCGAAGATAATGATGTTTTTGGTATTTATGTTGATGAAATTGATTATTTGCTAGAGAACATTAAAGTTTTTTTTTTTTTTGAGATTTGATCTAAAAAAAGAGGGTTGGAAAAAATATTTTGTTATTTATCGGAAAGGAATTGACTTTTGATGGTTTAAAGGTTGAGTCAAAAGAATGGTTAAATTTGAGTTCTATAGTGTATATTGTGTCCATTCAATTTTAAATTGGTTTTTAATGCTTGGTTATGATCTTGGTCAAATTTGATGGCTAAAGAAAGAAAGTGAAGAGCCAAAGAATTACAAGGAATTTTAACAAAGAAATTATGAACCAAATGTATAAATTACCACAAACCATAAAGATAATCCGTGTAATTTACCCATTAATAATAAAATAACACGTATCATTTTATAACATTTTGAATTCCATGAATTTTTCCATTGAAGTCTAATTAACTCTCCCTAGTTAAAACAAACTAAAAAATATGTATACACGACAAAATAATCCTTTTAAGTTAGGAAGAGACCAAAACAGCAACCAAACCTTGCCACGGAGACTATTTTTACAAGTTGAAACATTTTTGGACCTTAGCCATAGAAAATTGCAAACCACAAGGACCATTTTTGCAGTTTTCTTAAATAATAGACTAAACTGCACAAATGGTCCCTGTGGTTTGCTCAAAATTGCCACTTTGGTCCAAAAAAGTTTGGACTAGCACCAGAGGTCCAAAGTTTTCATTTTGTTGCGGGTTTGGTCCAATTTGCTTTGAACTTTTTTATAATGATGGATTTGCTCTTGCTTTTTCAATTTATTTATTTATTTATATTTTTATAGTTAAAAGAAAATAAAATACCAATCTCTCTATCCCCCTACCTCTCTCTCTCTTGTACTGAAACCATCCCTAAAATCTGCATCGTCTTCTCTCTCATGCAAATAAACAACCATGGTTATGCTCCACTTCTCTCTCTTCAATCAAACCCTTATAACTAAATTACACGAATGAAATCCCCCCTCCCTTTTTGATTTCTCATAGATTCTCTATCTGTGTTCTAATCAAGAGTTCTTGATAAACCCTAACTCTTAATCGCACACCCCAGAACAAAACGAAGAGAATAAAATCTGATAATTGCTCGAGTTTTTAGAGTTCTTGATAAACCTAGTTCTTAAATCCACACCGACGAAGAAGAAACCTTGTAATTTGTGATTAAATCTTCTCCGATAACTGTGACAAGATCAAGCTAATGACCACAAATTTTAGATGTTCAGATCTCGCTGGCCAAAAGCGCTAGACCTTTCCGATCTCAGTTCTTTCGTCGTCGGTTCTTTGTCGGTAGCAGTGAAGAGCTCAAGGTGACGAAGGCTTTCAAATCGGAAGGTTTTCAGATGGGTTTTCGAGATCGAAGGGTTTTCAAAGAGGTTCAAAAGCGATGTCGATGTTGACAAGTGTAGATCTGGAAATATTTCTCATCAGAAATTACGGATGAAGACGGTCGAAGGCTGCGACGGATTTGACGAAGGGTTGCAGTGATCTTAAACGAATTGAGAAAGAGGGTTATGACTCCCTCCAAAACGACCGCCATTTATTCATCTTTGTCTTTACAGATCTGATATGCGCGAGCTACGGTGGAAATGAAGGAAGACATAGATCTATATCGACGGTGGTTGCGTTGGTTTCCCACAGAAATGGTAGCAATGGCGGTGGTTTCCAATTATACTTTTCAAATATGAGGGTTTCAAGGAGATGGTGGTGGCGGTGTTGAGTTGCAGTGGTCGTATAGGCTAGATGTGTTGACCCGTCGTGGTGGTGGTGACGTTTATCATTTCCGGCGGTAGTGTTCCAACTTTTCGATGTTCTCTGGAGAGAAAGAGAGAGAGAGAGATTGCATATTTTTTTTATTTTTTTTTTATTTCTTTATAAAAAAATTATAAAAGTAAAATAGAAAAGACAAATTTTTTTATTTTTCTTGTAAACAAAAAATTTTAATCAATAAAAAACTAAAAAAGATAAAAGTAAGGGCAAAATCATCATTATGAAAAAATTTAAAGCAATTTGGACCAAACCCACAACAAAATAAAAACTTTAGATCTGTGGTACTAGTCTAAATCTTTTTGAACCAAAGTGACAATTTTGAACAAAACCACAGGGACCATTTGTGCAGTTTAGTCTAAATAATATTGAATCCCACAAGTTTCAAACTTGAGAGGGTTTACTGTTCAAGATAAAATTGGAAAGAATACATAAATAGATATAAAGCATCATCTCAACACAAGCTTTTAACAAACAATCAACTTGGGTTCTTTGCATTAATCAATGGTTGTCAAAACAAAGAAGCACTTGAAACCACATACAGAAATGAATTATGTCGTTTTAAAAAGAATGTTAACATCATAATCCTTAAACAACAATTATAATATCTGATTATGGGTTTTATTCAATTGAGATTAGGTTGTGATTCATGTATCTAAACCTGCATATCTCCTCAAAAAAATCATCAGCACTGCTATGACCACTTTTCATCCTAAGAATCCTTATCTTCATCTTCTTTAAATTCTTCCCAAACTTCACCAAAGACTCAAGTGTGCTCATTTTCTGCTCAGCATTCAATGGTGATCTCACAGTGATCACTACCTCTTCAAGACAAGGAATCATGAAGCTTGAATCCACCTAAAAAAAACCCAAAAACATGTTTTTCATGAACAAAGATTCTTGTTTTTGTTTTACTAAATTAATTGTTGTTTTCAAACTCACATTCTTTAGACTGTTCTTTTGGCATAGAGCAGCAAACATTGCTCCATGGATGTCGAATGTTTTAAGCTTTGGATGACTTTTGAAAAAGTCAACAAAGTCAATTTCTGGAAAGGGAAGAAGAGCTTCAAAATCTCCAGTGAATTCAACTTTCATATACAGATGTTTTACTTCACTTGCAAGTTGAAGAATTTTGTTTATTGCATCCCAACACCATTGAACACCTCTAATGCATAACGATTCAAGCCCCATGAGCTTACTACCAAAGTCCACCATGTAAACCCTCCCTGCAACCAATAAACAACACCCACAAACACAAATTTTGACATTATCATCAAAAATACAATCTTGAAATTATAAGGTAACAAAAAAAGGCTTAAAGATGATCTTGAAATTACCAGCATTGTTTGAAATGGAGAGATTCTTCAAGCAATTGGTGTCACGAACTCTAATCCAACTACACCCTTGAACTTCAAGATATTCAATCTTTGGAGCTGAAAGTGTAAGTGAGCAGCTACCTGATCCATAAAAATCAAGTTTACAATGCTCAAGTTGAAGAAGCTCAATCCAAACAGTCCTCAAACCCTCACAACCAAGAAGCACAAGATTTGTCAAATTAGGAGTTGCTCTCAAAGCCTCAGTCAAAGCTGAGTCCTCCAATTTTGCTCCAACAATTTCAAGATTCTTCATTTTTTGAAACACATCCCATTTTGGAGCACGAACCATTAGCACACCCCAAAGTCTTAAAGACTCGAGATTTTTAGCAAATTGAATGCATTCAAGTTTAGACATACTGTCTGTGTTTTGATCAGCAAGATTATCCATTCGGAGTTCAAGATTCTTTAGGGTGGGTCCCACAAGTGAGAGCCATGAGGTCAGCCCTGTGCTGGTGAATGGGCAGTAAACTACAAGCTCTTCAAGTTGGAAAATTGATGAGACTATCTCTAAGATAATGCAGTCAGGGGTATGACCGTCTTTTAAGTTGTCAAAGATGCTACGAGGGAAGTAAAGGCTTTTAATGTAAGGCATGGAGTCTTTAAACTTTCTGGAGACACAGTTACAAGATGCCACATCTTTAGCATTGTTCATGTTTAGTAAAATGTATTGGACTACAGCTTCTGGTAAGGATTCCATTCTGTGAGGATAATAAACAAAGATGTGATAGTTAGTTCGAATTCAAACTATATACAAGACTGCAGAAAGATTAGGGTTAGATTTCAAATCAGGAATTGGGGGAGTAATGGTTAAATACTGCTTAAAATTGTATATCTGTTAAGTTCTTCAGATGTTATTGAAAGACGAAAGTTATGTGGGTGAAAACCAACCAAAACTGAATCGATAACTAGATGTAAGTTTCGAAATAGAACAAAACCCAGAAACGATGATCAAATTGAATATAAACAGATGAATAAAATCAACTTTGAAAAAGACAAGGCTGTATATAAATGGAAAATGATTGATTCAATTCGTTATTTTTCAGTATTGTTGGATCTTTAAATTGAATTTTATTTAGGTTGAAAACGAACTGCTATGAAATTTTACAAACTTAACGAAAGTAACAAACCAGAAATGTATAGGAGTATAGAACGACTCTACTGTGAGGATGACATGGATATACACATACATCACCTATAATATAATTTCAGACTTATTTCATAATTAAAGTAGAAGTACATCTCGGCATCTGTCTATGGCAATTCAAGTATATGCAAAGCATTAATACCCGTTATTGCGAATCTAGTTGACGATTAATCTCAAAATTGACGTTAAAAACAGTTACTTTAACATCAATCTCAAGATTTACATCTTTCTGTCAAACAAAGAGTAATTATAAGCGAAATGCAACACAGAAATCCAGGCAAATACCACCTTACAAGTAACAAAGTGCAAATAGAATCGACTCACTTACATCCCTAGTAGACAACATAGACAATTTAGACAATTTATATGAAAACCTGGATCCAACAGATTTACATAAAACTGAAACCTAAAATAAAAATAAAAATAAAAAAAGTTTGAAAACCCCTTTACTGAAATCGGATACCTAATAAGCTTGAACTTTCAAAATCACGAAGTATCAACCAAATCGTACCTAAAGGGTAAGGGGAAGTGGATCAATCAAATTCAATCACGAAGCTTGAGAAGCGAGAAAGCAGATCTCCGATGCTGAATTTGAAGCTGCAAAGGGAGTGTGGAGAATTTATGCTTTTCTGTAAAAATTTGAACTTTGCCCGCCGTTGTATCCTCTTACCAACTTTTACTTAATTTTGTTATTTTAAAAATTATTACAAAAAAGTTTGAATTTTGAATAAGTTTTAGGCTAAATCACAGTTTTAGTCCTTGCCGTTTGGTAGACATTCCGAACTTCGTCCCACAAAAAATTTATATCGTTTTATGTATTTTACAAACTTGGTCCCTATGGTTATATGGTTATTCCGAATCAAATCTAATTTTTTTCAATTTTAACATGGATCGTAGCTGATATTTTTTTTGTTCATGATATCGTCTTTTTTACCATTAAGACCAGGTGAAATTGCTATATACTCGTATTATTATTTTTAATTACTTATTATTTATTTTATTTTAGTTACTAAAGTTTATATCCAATAAAAAGAAACTCTCCCCCACTAGCCCTTGTCTTTTGTACTTTTTCACATTCTTGTATCTTTATCACATAGACATTCATACATCTTCAAGTCATTAACCTTCATCGATTCTACTAGGGATTCATCGATTCTACTAGGGATGTAAGTGGGTCCGTACAATGGACCCAAAAATCGAAATTTTAATATTAGTAGACTGGAAACCCGACTGATATAAAGAAACCGATTACGGTTCGATTCAAGGTATAAATCCGGGTATAACCAATATGTAATGTTTGCAACCGGACTTGGGGTTTGGAGTCGGGTTAGAACTGGAATTTTGGGTATGGAACCGAATTTGGGGTTTGGAACCCAAAAATTTGAGCAAACCATGCATAAGTTATTGAAATTTTAAGGTTAAATATCTTTTTTTTAATAGTTATGTGGGCAGAAAAAAGAGCTAAAGATTTCAATTATTCAAGTGGAGTGCCCTAGGGGATGTATGAATTCATGTAGGATATCCTGATACTCTTAATCTAAGATTTTTTGTCTATTCCTTGTTTGGTTATGGCTTTAGAGTTGGATCATTTGTTCGAGTGACTATCTCACATCTAGTTATTTAGGGTTATGCATTTCATGGAGGATAGCTGGTAGCGGGATAGTGTGCTATGAGAGGACTAGTAAGTAGTAGTGAGTTTTATGATTGATGTTTGTCTGTATTATGTGTCTACTTGATCCCTTATTGTTTATATGTCGACATATGGTAGTAGTGGGTTGAGGCGGTCCTACTTTGTGTTGTAGTCCAAGATACTCGGTGTGGGTCGGCTGTAAACCATAGGCACGGAGGCTCTGGAAGAGTGGTTGGATTGAGACGGTAGACCAACAAACTCTGGGTAGTCCGGTCCAATGGCTAAGTGGACCCGTTACGTGTTGGCATTCCAGTCTGAGGAATGATTAGGCCTAGGCATTCCAATTCGATGATTGTGGGAGGTTATGCATGCTTGTACGTTCATATGATGGGGTATTTTGAGGAAACTCACTAAGCTTTATGCTTACCAAGTTGTTTATGTCTTTTTAGGTTTTATTGGTGATTGTGGGAAGGCGAAGGCGGGACTCTACACATTCATCAACAACATTGAGGATTTTGCGTTTCTTATATTACTCTGATTTTCAATAAATATATTTTAGAATAAACGGTTTTCTTAATAATGAATTTATAATTGGGAGGTTTTACTCTAATAAAAATGAAGTTTTTTTATTGTGAAAATGGGACGTTTCACTCTCAAGGTCCCGAATCACAAAAACGCTATGCTTCCAAAGAAGTAGCACACATACACCTAGGTGCTCAAAGAGCCACATCTAACCTTCTAGTACTCATCCTAGGTCCTTGCTCTACTACATCTCTATTCTGCAAGAAGTCTGTTAACCTCGCTAATGGATTCACATAAACCAATTGTACATAACTTAGACTCAATAGATATTCGAATAAAGAATTCCACCTAAAATTCATAACCAAATAAGGAACAGGAAGAAGGCTAGACCAAACATTTTGAGGCTATAAAATCCCAATTATATACAACCATGCAATTTACATGAAGCAATTAGCAATCTTAGTTTCAGCTGTAGCAAAACATCCGCAAGTAATCTCCTAGGCTATAAGGCATCACAAAATCATGCAACCCTATCCTGAAACGCCTGATGGATCCTTAGCCTATCAGGTATCACACATTTATATCGGCTCAATATACAGCAACTATAATACAACATATAACACATATATAGATATTTTGGGAGATCACTTCCTCGAGCTCCGGCTGATTGTACACTCTGCTTCCTCCGCTCTTTTCCTTGAAATTCATTCTTTCTGTAAAAAGGTTTTTATAAAACTTTCATATCCTTAGTTTGAGTTTGGAATCCTATGAGTGTTCATCTAGTTCTCTCAAACCAAGACTCAAATACCAACTTGTAACATCCTAATTTTTACCACAAATTTATTTTTAATACAGAAAAATCCCAAGTATCATAAAGTCCAATTCGATAAAATCCCAGGTATATCAAATACGATAATCCCAAATTGGAGTATCAAAATGAGGAATCATTGAAAATCTACAAGGCAGTAGTGTATAGTCAAGCTTTCGTCTTTCCGCGATCATTAAAGGTATCAAAACACATTTAATCCACAACTATAAGCACAAAACTTAGTAAGTCCTTTCCAAAATATCCATACAACAAAAATATTCAACAAATATGGATTATCAGCAACCCTGGGGATTATCAGCGACAGTATACCCAGTGGACTAGCAGCATGTTTCAAGGGTTAACAACAACCTTGGGGACTTTTTGTTGGGTTTTATACAAACAATCATATGTGTGCATGCAACCCTAGAATTAGATCTATGTTTTCACTATTAGATACACAACATTATGAACACATAAAGAAACCCTAATGTGGCCTACAATTTTCGAAATTCATGTAGAAGGTTAGAACACATACCTCTTGTTGTTATATTGTAATAACAACTTAAATCTTCAAACCCTAAGTCTTGAAAGCAAGCACCACAAGTGTAGTGCCTCTAATGGCTCACAAACACCAAGAGCAAATGGAGAAGCTATAGAGAGAGAAGAGAGGTATAAAAATTCATCCCTAAGAAGCCTTGGGAAGGTATGGATGAATTCATGAGCCAAAGGGGTGTTTATATAGGTGTAGAGATAGGGTTTCAGTCCTTATCCTTATCTAGTTGCTTGCCCACCAAGTAAACCATAAGATAAGCCTTGAATCCTTATCATGGACGAATTCTAAGGCCTTATCACCTTAAATTCGTCCAACCTATCCTTAGGATAATCCTTACCCTATTTTGTAACTATCACATAATTACAATTCAGTCCCTCTAGTTTAATTAATTACATTTGATCACAAAATTAATTCTTAATTAATTATTGACCAATATTAATTAAACAAATATGATTTCTCCTTTAATATATTATTCTTATAACATATTAATAAATCATAATAACCTCTTTCTCTATTATTTCTCCAGTCAAGTTGCTTTGGTGAAGGCAACCCAAAAGGACCATGTACAATCGGGTCAAGTACTTGACAAATATGGTTACGAGCTTAGACACTAATCCAACAGTCTCCCACTTGGATAAGTCTAGTAACTATAATAGTAAGTACTACCCAATTAGCAATCGTAGCTCTCAAAGACGCTGTTAAACTTTGATCTTATCAGTAACCTGTCCTTTAGATAAGGGATCATATATTCCTCCATTCTAGATATCGTATAGACGTGAGACATGGATTGAAATCATTCTCTCAGTCTATGTGTTGTTTCCCGATTTCCGATTTACGACGACTGACTAATTGAACAAATCAAATTAGCCCTATCCCGACCAAGCATTTACGTTTTTCATCACTAAATCATCGAGGGGCCCAAAGATATCGCTTTTATCCTACTTTGTATAAAAGGAACGGATAAACTTTGCTACAATGCTCGCTTGCACTCACTCACCGAATCACACACAACAATATGTTTTATAACACCAAGTTACTAGTGCGTTTACATATTATCAATGTGAAACCGATTTGCAAGATACAACTCACACATCTCGGTTTCAAGAATATAAGATGTTATCGTCTCACCAATCACTCGTGATACAATTCATGGAGTGATCCAAGTGAGCGTGGGTTTATTCCAATGCTCAAATTCATATTCATAAGCACTCATGAATGTTGCAGCAAACATTTGCTTATGTATAATACTCTTTTAGACAATCCACACACCAATTCACGACAGTCTTCATTCATACCTACTTCCAACATATGAATGACGGTGGCCCGTTCGAATAATTTGACTGTTCTTAATCAATTAAATTACTCAGGAAGTCAAAACATGCAAATTGAAACACAAGAATAATACTAATCCCATATGGCCTCAAGCCTTTGAGTATAAATAAAACACCTTTTATTTATCACCATATCGATTACTCATTATTTGTCGTTTCGGGTAATCGACTTCTTACTTGAATTATTACACTTGTCCCATGCTCATAGCATGCACACAATGTTTACCTATGGTTCTTTCTTTGTGAAATAGATCAAATTGAACACGTTTCCAATCATTCTCATTTCACAACTTGAAATCCTCTTCCATAAGTGAAAGAATATCAAATTCTTGCTACTTATAGAATATGATAGATTCTAACATTTTATGCAATGATCCTTTCGTAATGTCACTGCACCAAAGTCACAAAGACTATTGTCAATGATATTACAAAGTCCTCTATCGGAGATTGTTACAAGACAATTCCTTAGATATGATGTATCTCACTCAAATTACATTCCTTTGAACATCCTTTTGCATAAATGTTTCTAATCTAGACATAGATTTTCAATATTCAATTCCCAATATGGACACGTTCCCATATTTTCCATATGATAACTTATTCTTAATAGAATCTTATCTATTCATAATAATGTTGATATGTTCCATCCAATATGGAAACATTTCCATATTTTCCATATGACAACTCATTCTTAATAGAATCTTTTCTATTCATAATAATTTCGATATGGTCCATCCAATACCATGCTTCCAACTACTCACAAGCAACCAATCCTCGTCGAACTTTGGATTGTCCTTTGATAGTTGTTTAATTATTTTAGTTAAAACCGATTCTAGTCCCT